TTTATATATAAATATATAAATATATATATATATGGCTTATACTGTGATCATTTTTACAGTCTTGTAACTGGTGCTCTTTCCAGTTGATCTAAATAAGTTCAAAACATACCAGCTAATTCTTGTACTCCTAATGAAACTAAATCACTCATAACATTGACAAACTGCAGAAGAATGGTCTGGTGCCTGTCTGAACTGCCAGGCCACCACCTACAGTCTCCTACTGATGGACTGACCATGAATTATGCTTTTATCAGTATAAAATTTGTGAGAAAAGTCATCTCTGAAAAAAAAGTAACACAAAATACTCAGTATTACTGTGACCATACATATTGGTCTACAGTTGTTTTTTAAAAAAAAACTTCAATAATAAATATATATATGTCTACACTGATATGATGTCATTATAAACACATTTTAAACCATAAAGATTTATAAAATAAAATGTATCCCAGTTTTATAAGTCATTCGCAACTTTTTATATTTTTAGGCTAAAATTCAGAACTTTATATACACACTATTCAGGTGGCTCTTAACGAAGTTTCTCACACTGAACTTTCAGAAACTTATTTATTATATATATTTCATATATAGTGTATATGTGTGTGTGTGTGTGTGTGTGTGCTAACTCATATGTATTTAGAGCATTAAACCTGTCAGGGTCACCATTTTGACTTTCGGAGAAATTAAACATATCCTCAAATATTATCAAAAGCACACAAGTGACTATCAAAAAAATGCAAATTATACTTGCAGAGGATGTTTAACACTACCAATATTTTGAGGGAAGGTAAATAATTATTGCCCTTTTAATATGCTTTCAAATGCTCTAAAATAACTATATTTTAAATCATATTGGATACTGACAATAAATATAAACCAAAATATTAAAAGTCCTGTCACTAAGTTTAAAATGTACAGCACATTTGCTTTGCCCTAGATGTCACAGTCTTATTTTTCAATTCATATCTTGTACACTGTAAGTTAATTGCTTTTGGAAAGTACTTATTATTCATGTAAAAATTAATGTGCCAATGTGTTTAAATCCTTTTAAATGACCATTCATGCATCTTTCTTCTTTAAGTACCAATGAAATCTGTCAGAAGACATCAATGCAAAATGGTCTTAAAGAAAGTTCTAATAGAAATTTTTTTCTGCTAACACAAGATTTTCATATTCACCAACTTTACTTAAATTCCATTAATTTTTTAAGCTACTTTTAATAAATTCACCAAGTAAAATTTTTAGGCCCCATAGTCTGTCATTTGTGTTCCAGCTGACATTATGAATATTAATAACAGTGTTATCCTGATTAAATAGGCTTCATATGAAATCCCTGTGAATCCTATAGCTCAGACATCTCATTTTTCCAACTCTTTATGAATTTGGATTCAGACATTAAACTGGAAAAATCTTTAAAAACAGATTTAAGGGCATATTTGCATATTGTCAAGCAAAAATTAGATGTTCTAATAATTCAAATAATTACAAATTACGTATCTACATATTGTCATAGAAATTAAAGATTTCTGTACTTATGCAACACATTTTACACTTCTAATCATTTCTGGACAAAAGACTAAGACTAATAAGATACTTTTATTTCTTTCCCTACACAAATATTTCATATCAAGAACTTATTTTAATCAAGAATTATATATTCATGATAAAACTAAACTGGTGATTTAACAGGTGATATCAGATAAATTAGCTTTCAAAAGAACAGACAAAATATAAGCTGCTTTATTATTACTAATAATATACCAGGTTCAAATAGCAAAATAAAGTGGATTCCAACCTAAAATTCTTATATTTTGCTGGAAAAAAATGACCCATGTTAAAAACAAAAAATAAAATCTTTACTGTAATAACAGTGCATATAGCATATTAGCATGTGTTAATTTAAGATCTTCTCTGTCATGTATTCCTAACCTTGGTCCCTCCAAGTTGCTTTTAATTATCAAAGAAAGTTTTAATATATAGAAGGAAAATAACTAACCATTAAGGAAACCACATATTCTCTTCTCTCTATAGGTACACAGCAATCTAAATAAACCTGCCAATATTTCCTACATTCAACATACAAACGTAAATGCACATTGAAAAAAATTTAAATAAACATCTCTATGCTTTCAAATGTGACTTGGCTCTCCTTGTTTACTCAGCAGTTAAATACTTAATAAAAAAAAAATTTGTTCTTTGACCTGTCTGAAGTTTCTAATCTGCCTAAAAAATTACAAGTACATCTGATATTTATCCTTCAAAATTAAACAATGCTTTTTTTTTTTGACAAAGTGGTATTAAAAGGGGGTTTTACTACCCAACGTAACAATACCTAGTATTTCCAAAAATTTACTTTAATTGGAAGCTGTTCTTCCTACCTTCCGCATAAAACTACATCATGGCAAAGGTTTCTGACTAACTTTGGCTAATGACATTTTTTTCATAATATTTCTTTAGATTAATCACAAATTTGTATAAAGTGAACAGTGTTAAACTAAGAATGATTTCCAGCAACACCTCTTAAGCAAATATTATAAAACTCCAAATTTTGTATTTCCTAGATTGAGAAATGCTGATTTTTTTGCATTGAAATGATTTCATTAAATGACCTGTATTTCTGAAAGCTATTTTATAACATAACTCAACATACACAGCATATGCATGTTCATCTTACTAAACACAAGTCTCTCAAACATACACAGTCTTCAGCTCATTCTCTCCCCAAAAGGATTGCTTTCATGCAATGCCCTTCATAGTACAGCCACTACCTAACAAGCTCGGGGTAACTCTTGTTCCTAGAGACAGGAAAAGCAAAAGATGTTTAGGAGAAAGACTAAGATGAAAGTGGGCTCACACCATAGCTACCAAAATTTAAAATGAATATAGAATTTGAACCCCTAGTTCTACTATTAAAAGTATTTAGAAAATTATGTGAAGCATATTTTTGTGTACAAAGAATTGTAGTAACATATACACTTTAGTCATACTGGACTTCTTTCTGTTTCTTGAATTCACCATGTTTATTCATACTTCAGAGTTTTTAATAATTGCCTATTCTCTTTGCCTAGAATTATCACCTCCAAATCTGCAAACCTTTGTTCTCATCACTTGGATCTTCCTCAAAAGTAATCTCTTCAAACAGATTTTGCCTGGCCATTCTATTTAAACTAGAAACGCCTCTCTCATCACACTGTCTATGCTTCTGTCGTCACAAAGCAATCTGGTTAGGTTTTATTCCTTGCTTTTTTTATACATCTGAGCCAGTTGAGAGCAACTCCCATATACCCTGTCTGCATGTATATGGAAATTCCATGCAAGGAGGACTCTTAATTTTCTCCTTTAGAGAAGGTAAAGATGCTTGGCATACAAAAATACTGAGAACAATTCAGGGATAGACAGGTGAGTGGATGACCGGAAAAACAGATCTAACATAAATATTCAATAGCAAACATATCAAATAAAATATGGTCAACCACACAGCAAATCTATATGGTGTACCACAAATGCAAAAGATATATATGTACTATAGGTGGAAGATTTAACAAATATTTGTTAAGCACCTACATCGCAATTAGATACAAAGTGGTGAATAAAGCAAATACCAAAATATATCTTTAACCAAAATAATAAAAGCACAGAGCATGGCTAAATAAAAAAAGTTAAATTATACTTAAATATGCAGACATGCTTGAGTATTTTTTTTTTTCTAGAAGGAAACTACTACCAGTGATTACTCTGGGTCTAGGAGTTGAGGTTGGGAGATTAGATAATAAAGGAATGATGGATCGGTATGGATCTGTATTTTACTTTATACCTATCTGTATGGTTTCATTTATTTCACTTAACAATTAAATATTCATTAATGACCTTAGAAATTGACAAGAAATGCTAAAGGAAGCCACATTATATCTTAGAGAGCCATAATAAATATGAAGGAAATAATTCTGGTGACTCTTGAAACTGATAAAAAACTTATCACTGCCTAATTGACCTAAAATTATATCTTGTTATGGTTATTTGCTTTTTTGGTCTAAGTAGACTTAAAGGTTCAAATTGAACTAAAATGCAGAAAGAATTTTTTAGAAAATTTTAAAATAAATGAAAAAGTTCCCTGAGAAAGCAAGTATTTGTTAAAATAATC